TGAGCAAGTTTCGGAAAATACTTAACCCAGAGCTGGTTCGAAATGTATACACTGAACTGTATGTGAATACTTGCTTATCAGGTCTCCTCTTGAAGCTTTTCACTGAGTATGCTGCGACATTTCCGGATAGAAGAAGGTTTCATGTTGCGTCAAATGTTTATTAGTAATAGTGTGCATGATCGTGGGTATTCACTGCTTCATAAGTACTTTTGCGAAGGCTCCCTTCAGCAACATGGTGGCGATGTTTTGGCGAGATGCTCGTGTTAGGATGATTAGGCTAAACTAATACTGTTACGCATGAACGTGAATGCGTCAGTTGATAAGCTTGAACTTGTTAGAGGGACATAAATGAAATTGAAGCAGGACTGCGTCAGCTGCGCGCTGATTGGCTGATTTCCGATCCAATCAGCGCCTAATCGATTCTTGGAGAACAGGGTAGAAGATTCTCGTGTTGTAAGCTGCTTGCTGATTGGCTAAATCTAATCCAGTCGATCACGTGAATTTCTATCCAGAAGCTTCTCATGTAAATGCTATAAATAAACTAACGCTGTATCTATTTTGCCTTCACCTTCGGCTTCTTATTTCCAGTTAACTTTGCTATCTGGAATATAATCTTTACCTGTTCAACCGTGTTTTTGATTCTTTGGAACTTGTCCAGTGTATTGTGGTCAGAGAATACTAAGCGATAGGATTTAGCTGGAAAATTATCCAAGCAAGTGTTACAATAGAACTATTACGTGCTTACCTTAGTCGGAAAACGAGAACAACTTAGAGGATACAACGACACGACATGCTACTCTAATCCGATTGTCCCAAACTACCACTCAGTAAAAAAAGAAGACTTGATACGAAGTAGAACATGTATTCCACATGCATCTAGAAAGTATGGGGTTCGAGTCCAGAGAAGAATCAGGAACCCGGACTAGGGATTCGAGTAATAAATCGTCAAACATAATGGGCATTTATACAGTTAGATCGAATAGGAAATAACTTTTAAGTAACATTGATAGTCAGGACGACCAACAGAAATCGACCAATAGAATTAGGCTTACAAACAATTATCTTGTGATATTGGATAGATATCCTGAAACATATATAGTAAACCGTCGCTAAACCACCTCTGCTTCTTGCGCACCTGAGTGGGAATAATCCCAAATGTTTGCATTTGTCTTCGTAATGTTTTTTTCTTGAACATTTCACCCTTTTAGTTCCTTGTCTTTGTACACAATCCAGGAGATTTAGAACTTTTTGAGGGGGATGGAGGTGTGATTACATTGTAGACTTAAAGCTTGTCGTTTTTCTTCGCCTCCCTGTACGGCCTGATTGCTCAGTTATCAGTCCTCCTATTACCTTCCATAGCACTGTTAGTTATGGCACCCTCCTGGAGCAGGCCAGAACATTCCTATTCCTCCCTTTAAAGATTGGAAAGAAAATATCTTGTTTCCATTTAGTTACCCATTGGTGTGACTAAAGTGAATGCCTGAACAGCTCACATACCGATGAACTAGGGTTTCCGCACGCCAAGCTCTCATATTCACCCTTAGAAAGCTTCAGTGCCTAACCTAAGCCATGTTCTTCTCGTTTTACCTGTTTAATTTGCCTGAGGTAGATTATGTAGGACAGAATTCTGAATGATGTCCTTCATAGGGCGTTTAGAACATACTCTCTTATGTTCGTGTGGTTTACACTAGTGCAATGAATGAGCGGCTCATGTCCGTCTCTATATATGATGCATGTCACACCACCTGGAGCACCTCTGCAACAACAACCGTACACGGATTACTAGACAGCTTGATATATCCGGGTTGGTCATTTCGATGAGAACTAGCCACTGCAGGGCTTTTGTTCGTATAATGTATTCAAATAGGGAGACCGTGGTCTTCTCATCATGTACTGTGGATTAACAATCGATCTTTACTTTATCTTCGTTCTGTTGTTTTACTGACCTAGTTTGGCTCTTGATACACTTAATGTGAATACAGTGACCACCTTTTGTTTTGTACCGTGTCTGAATCATCCCGCTTAGGCCGTCCGGGTTTCTGAAGTACATGGCCATCAGAGGCCTAGACTTAATGGTCTTCAAATGTGACGGAATAGGCACCCAGGGAATGCTGATTCCCATGGTGGCGTGAAGGCCTATACTACGCGATGGCCACCATTACTGTTGCATATCACGTGCATCGGCTCGATCCAAGCTACTGCCAACGACTTCAGGCACTTCATGGACCTCCATACTGATCTACTCTCGGGTGGTTTTCGATGTCCTTGCAGCTGCACGTATTGATGACGTTTTGCCGTGCCTGCCTTGGATTAGGGAGGAAAGTGTAACCAAAGGTCTCTGAAATCGTAGGAGGAATTCTTCAGTAACCTGTGCGGAGTCTACAGCATTACTTTCTTATGAGCTACCCTCAGATACCGGAATATTAAACAAAATAATTGAGTTTTCTTTAACGTCCTGCCCATGAATTGCAGCGTTCTGAGGACTAAGGTTTTGCTAGTTATCTTTCTAACGTACACTCACTGCTATGTAAAGGTAACAGATACTGTGTTATTTACAACAACTAGTGGTTTAATTGAAGTATTTTTTAGGGTTATGGCTGCGCTTGCCGCCACCTTTATCGGACTTCTGTTGAGAAAATCAGATATACTAGTAGGAATCGAAGGGTATACTTTGATTGGGATATTTAGCATCACTAATTTTGTTCGCTGAAGGATACTACACTTTCGACCAACCACAACCATGCGCATAGGTGACCTAGCATGAACCCACAGAACTTTAGTGCAGTATTACAATGACAGTAAACCCATGAATTTTTACATTGAAATGTAGAGTAACTGGTTTTAAATGACGCCGAGCAGATGGTACAGTTATCATTTTATATTCTTTTTGAACAAGAGACTGCATTGGGCTGCTTTTGTCTCCTATTTCCTTTGTCCCAGCTAGTCTTGCAAGAAGTATGTATCTCTGAGTCAGTCATCCTGGTTTCTTTGTTGGAAAACCAGTTGAGATGTATGTATGTATGTGTACATTCACTATGTATATTCACTAGTTAAATGACATTAGGTACTACTCTATCCATACTTTACAAATCCGAGTGCAAATATGTCTAGGAGTAAATCATATAAAAGTTGTTTATCGAGATATAAGTTTGATATATTTCCATAGACAAATAAATCCTTATCCCCAGTTCTGTTTTCTCAACATGAAGTGTCACATTTAGGAGACCAGTACTGTAAATTTTAGAGTGGATTATGAATTCGGAAAAACAGCTCTAGATGTTTAGATACGCGCCTTGCCCAGTTAATCTAAAAAGAAAGCAATTTATCTGGGTAATTCACGGTTCTATTATTAACCGAAAGATACAGATAGTTACCTAAACAGTATTACACTGTTTTCCCTCCAAATTAACACAATGTGTTTCCAATTCTGGAAGAATGCTTCCGTTACAATCCAAATTGCACCATTCCAGTCCAGATGCACTTCAATAAAGGTATGAAAAATAGAAACTAAAACAAACTACAAATATTAACATCACAAAATTGGACTAAACAGAGTACCAAAATGTAGCACAGAAAGAGTCAGGTTTTTCCCAAAACAAAGCCCTCAAAATTGATTCTACACCGGCCAGCGAAATCCCTCCATACGAAACAAAGCTTTTGAAGTGCCTCAGATCATGGTTTGCTCCCATAACCTAATCCAATTCAGAAGAACGACTAGAACTTATAGCAGTACGCCTACTCGTCCCCCAACATGGATATGACCTATCATACTCGCTATTTTACTGTACTCTTTCACCAGGCTATTGATTCCTCTATGTATCGTGGCATGACCTAAAGGTTGCATAAACTCCATCACATGAACAACTATGACAAGTCGTGACGCTCGTCACATCGTATTCGGGATGTACTCTCCATATTATAAGGAAAAGGAATCTTCAATCCACCACCACTTGCTCCGGACGGCAGACACGATGCAGTCAATGATACCGACTCCTTAGCAGAAGTCCTCGATCCATAAATATTAAGCAAAGTTGGAATCTCCAATTTTGACATTTATTCGTTTCCCGAAGACTCTGAATGGCAGGAACAAGATTCAATTCTCCATCTCCTAGTGCAGAGTAGGTTTGATCAGCTTTCATCATCCTCGACAAATCGTTTGTCTCATTAATTACATCAAGAATATTATCATCTCCTTCATTATTCTGTTCTGTCAAACAAGTCATGTTGTTTCTGGTAACACAAGCAATATAAGGGTGAGACACTTCCATTGTCGTTTATCTTATCCCGCTAGATGAAAGAACAGGATTAGTATCAAAATTGGAAACCGGTAAACTCACTTGTGATTCTTCAAGTTCGGTTTCAGAAACACAAGTTATCGGCACATCACTATTATTTTTATCATACTGTAGTGAAAGAAAACACAGGTGGGACAACCGAATTGTATTTAACGAAAATTACAGAGTTACTCAGTAAAATCGGAAAACCATATCGTAAATCATTAATTTGCAAAATATTAGTCCATCATATCGAACTGGACTGTTCTTGTTGCCGAACATCAATCCATTGTCACTATTCATGCGTTTCATACAAATTCCATTGTGTTCCCACTCTTCCTTTCTTGATCTTCCTCCATATTATGCTGCCAGACATTACGTTGACACTCACGTCATATACTACTTATAAGTAGCTTGCACCACAGCACCACACTACTACAGATCAACTCACTTTTCCACAAGTCCTATACTTGCAAGTGAATGAATTCATCTGTGCTTTCGTCGATGCAACTAGGAAGAGAGCAGTTAGTTGAAACGGCCAGACATTCCACATGGTGGTTACACCTGAGCAATCAACAGTACATTTACTTCAAAGAGCGCGTGACAATGAGATAGAAATTTAACCCAAAAGTTATATTGAATTTTCAGATGCTCCTTTTACTTTATATTTAGCTTTATCACTACTAGGTGATGATCGAAACCTAGTATTTCGTTTTAATGCCCTGATTCATGACTACCGAAAGACCTTAAGTACTGAACTGAACTGAATTACGTTAGTTCTTGACTATGTTAGTCATTAAATGTAGATGCATTCACCTTTATATTCTTTTCAATATCAGACTTTTTTTAAACGCGAATCTTTGCACTTGCCAATAACATAACGTACAGTTAAGCTATATATAGCCTCAAGTTTAGACGTATGCCTCCCAATCTCCTGACATTGGGAAAATTAGATTTTTCTGGAGGCTCTCTTAGTAGGTGTTGCGAATGCGACCAGAGTATCAAAACAGCGGCTCCCACAGAAGGGATCCAACTCAGTCGTATGCTTAGTCTGCCTCGTTTCTCGGGTAGATTACTTTGAATTGTTAATATCAAGTTTGTTGTTAGTCTCTAAACTTCAAAGTCGAGTTGAATCCCCATGAAGTGTTTACTCTAATCTTTCCAGAGCAACCAAAAATGGGGAAATGAAGGGGAACACGCACCGTCACTGCGAATTTTTTTTGAAAGTTAACAACGTCAGCGAAAAGCTCAATTCTGCCGACACTTGTTGCAGAAGTTCATCCATATAAATTATTAAGGGAAGCAGTTCTAGTAGTAAACCATGGGAGAAATTAATAGGAGATTCTGTCGCTTATGAAAAATCAAAGTTAACCGTAACCTTAAAAAGTCGATCATTTAGATTTGTGGTTAACCAGTCCATTAGAATTGGCTCCATACCTAAAAGTCTGAGCTTATCGGTGAGATACAAGAATGACCCCACCTAAAGCTTCTGAAAAGCAAAAGTACATCCCAGCCTTCCCTTTGTGAGCACAGATGTTTTGTCCATCTATTTGCCATAATCAGCATTTTGGCTATATAAGAGTGCCATTTCCTGAAACCAACTTGCTGAGGAGTAAAGAAGTTTATGCAGTCGCATCGAAATCCAAAGCAAACCATGGGGAGGTATTTTTAACAGCACGCCAAATTAGTAGGTTCTCAAGTACGAACATGTTCACTGTTAGATAGTTTTGTGGTTTATCACAGTGTTGAAAGGCGGACCTACATGCTAAAGTGGAGAATATCAATTCTAAAAAGGAGGCAATTTTACTTGTAAAGGGTAATTTCTGAACTAACAACTCAGATTCATCACAGCGGCCCTGTTTTTTAGGCTAAAACATATAGATTGCTTTATCGGGGCTAAGAAACTCAATGGCTTGTGTTAATGCTTTTGTAGTCAGCCTCTGTAAGTGTTTAATTTCGAATTAGTCAACTGAAGGTGCAGATACCACCTCTTCCGGTTGTAGTTTTCAACAGCTGATGACTCGTTCAAAAACGTGTGTCATCGGTATTTTGTTTGTTTGTTTCTTTTGAACTTGCCCTCTAAATCCTCTGGGTTGTCCTGGTCTAATGGGCAGAAAAAATGAGTATATGCAGGAAACAAAATCATCCCAATATTCCACACATCAAAATCAGGTCGGCTTATAACCTTCTATATGATTGAAGAGGTCTAACATTCCAAGTCACCCAGTATTTGGTAAACCTCAGAACTCTAAAGTTGGATGGGTAGTCGTTATCTGTGCTCTTTCCAAAATATCACAGTTACCTGCTAAACAGAGGTTTCCTGTTAAAACACAGTTTTCAAGTTTGGGTCTCCCTAATATTGTTTAAACTGCAGTAAACATTCTTATATCCAGCAGTATTATTGTCGATCTTAATACCAACGGTGTTTCGAACTTGTTAGCCACCACCGCATGCAAGAGGCTGCTGTCCTTAATCACTATAATAAAGGAAGAAGGTCGCAAAAGCTCCAGCAATGCCGTGATGTTTTACTTCTATGTCTTCAGTGTTCGTATTGTCACACCAAATCGTGTTGATGGTCGTCAAAAATATTTTAGACCACTTAAATAAAACATCTCGATTGACATGGACTGCATATGTATCCCCGTTCGATATTTAAATCGTAGTTTGACATAAAGGACTTAACGATACATAGGAGTCCATTCATGCAAAGTATAAAAAGCAAAGGATCTAGAACCGAGCCTTGCTACAGAACTTCAAATACTGGCTTCCATGAAGAAAGTTTAATATAAATCCTTACTTTCTTTTGATTACCCAGCGGAAAGTTTTTGATTTGCTTTATAAGAGGTCCAGCAATTATTAGATTTTCTAATTTCAGAAGGACCCTATCACACGGGAAACTATAAGACTTTATTTAAGTCAACGTAGGTAATGGCTACCAATTTTCTCTTCTCTGGCTGTGAAGAAGTTATTTTGTGCATGAAATTTTTTTTCTCGGATCATAATGTCCACTGCTTGAGTTGTTGTTCATTACAAAGATCATAATAACTTTTTGATTATGCTTCCAAGCATTATAAATATGACACTACTTAGATTGACGTGTCAGCATTTCGGTGTAAGTTGTGCTTATACTTTCTTGTCAACTGCAGTTACAGTGGCATCTTTTTGGTCCAGTAACCAATTCTGACTGAGTAAATCAGTAGGGTAGGACTGTATGATGCAGTGACTTAGAAATTTAAGGTGAAATTCATCCGGTGCGGTTACTTTTCCTATCTAAAGAGTTTGATTTATAGAATGATGAAATTTAAATATGCATCTTTAATATCTGTAAGACAGTTTGCTGTGTTAAACCATTCTGATCTTCCTTAAAACCAACCGCTTGTTAAACTATTCTCACATGGGCCCGTAGAAACGGGTTACGTGCGCTACAAACCCTCTACAGCTTACCTGCAGAGGGCTGGTCAGATGCCATAGATAACAGAAAACCAGAGGATTTAGTCTGTGTTGACTTCATTAGGGCTTTTGATAAAGGTTCACCCTAGCCTTCTTTTCTAACGGAAAAAGTTGATGTTTAGTTTAACATCTGCTTAAATGGGTCAAAAATTTATTATTGCTCACGAATACGGATTTTACGAATCAGTTGCAAAGACTTTCAGGAAATAACTTCTTAATAGAATACCACAGGACTCCACGCTAATTCTGACGTCCTGCTGAGCTGAAATATGTCAAGAGTAATGTCTACTAATGCATTTGTGTGTATCACTGTCTGCTATATATACAGGTGTCACTAACCACAAAACTAGTGAAACATTCTTGGCTCTAATCTTAACCTACAATGATATAGGAGTTATAGCAATCCATGACTTGATGACCATAATAATTTCCATTCAGTTGCACATAAAAGTTTTATTAAAGTGTGTTTGTCATGTCGTTTTACGAAGCAAGATAAAAATATTTTTGCTATCATTTGCACAGCTCTCGTAAGGTTGAAATTATAATAAAATGTTTTAAAAGCCACAACCATTTAAAAGATAACTGCACTGTTTAAAATTAATCACTTGCTGCTAAGACAAGAAGCAATCTCCTTAAAGGTTGTCTTTATCTAGTAATACTTAGAAAGCGATGGGAGGATAAAACGTATCCATTTAGGATAAATGGGTCGTTATTGCTTTGTAACATTTTGAAAATTTCAACAAAATGCACTAGACATGTGTGTACGAACAAGCTTCGCTGATTCAAATTTGATGCAAAAAAACCTCTACGAATGCAAGCGACTTGGTTGTAAACTGTGAACGTTTCATTTGTAACTAATAAATACTATATTCTCATCGAACGTCTAGTTTTGATGAGTGGGAATGTATCTGTTATTAAGCAACATCTAAGAAATCAGTTATGATGAATTCGAGGATGAGAAATATGTGAAATTCAAAACTATTATGGATGAAGATTTTCGAAACTTTTTTTTCTTCCAGTTTATGCATATTCTTCAGGTGGTCTCTTGTCTTTGAAAATCGATCAGACATTCCTAAATATCATTTTATCTTCATAAACTGAAGTTGTACCGTTTTCAGAAGTACATTTACAAATTTAACTTGTGTCTTATTGTTATTTTTGAAGTAAGTTGAAGGTGAAGTTTATGGTTTACTATATCTATAAGACTCAATCAGCCTTTACTATTTATCAACCCAAATTATTTACTTACTTTATTGATTAACTTTCTAGTTTATTGGCCCGCGAATCAACTGATGGTCGCCTAATACTCTTTTGTATAAACTATTGCAGACATGGATTTGGAAGGCAGAATACCATGTCAGAGAATGACCTTCATCAAAGAATTGATGCCATTAAGCAGACACATTGAATCTCCAATCTCTAAAAAGGTCCTTGCTGTTCTGGATGCAGCTCTACAAAAAGTATTAATTGTATTGTGTTTACAGGATATAAAGGAAACTGCTGAGGTGTGTCCTTTCAAAACAAATTTATGAGTTTATAGGTTCGGAATGAAGAAAGTCTATTAGGTCGTGTGGATTCTTACTTAAGTCAAGCAAAAGAATATGACCTAATGAAAACTGGTAAACTCAGTGATCCTCATTCGCATCAAGGCTTATCTGAAGACTTTAAAATACCGAAAAGTACCGGTAGGTTACATGTTTGTTTACAACCAAACCTTGTTAGAATCAGGAATGGAAGAATCGTTGGTGAGTTCGGAAAGTTTGTTTACGAAACATGTCAAACAATTTATCAGTGGAAATTTTAGGGAATACAAGTATGCACCTTGGTATATCTGTTAATCGATTCTGAATAGTAAAAGGCATTAGGAACATACCTTTCACAATGAAGGTGTATTACATTAGTTTGAAATTTAAATTTTTATATCTTTGGTTCTGCTAACTGCTATTTTGGAAGACTTCAAAAGGTTTTTATGTGTAGAACTATTATTAAACATTCGAAGATTTCACTTTCAGCATTTTATCAGCCTTCGAAAAAGTCCTTATAACGTTACGAAAGTTAAACGGATGAAGTATCCACACTTTCTAGTTTTACAACTGCCTTGAACTCTTATTTACTTACTTAATTACACCTTGAACTCTAGCTTCACCAAATCTTATGGTGACAGATCACATCTATATAAGCTATTAGACTTTAAAACTTATGGGTAACAGTTTTGTACAGTACATCACGTTTTTGTTACTGAACTTACTTACTTACGCCTGTTACCCCTGAAGTAACATCGATCAACGACCAGCATTCTCCAACCATCTCTGTCCTGGGCTCTCCTTTCCAGTTGCTCCCAAATGCTTTTCATCCTTTTGATATCTTCCTCCAATTTCTGGTGCTATATATTGTTTGGTCTACCTCTTTATTTTGCCTCGAGGATTTCAATTTAGAGCTTGTCTTGTGACGCAGTCGGTTTCTTTCTGCAATGTGTCTCCTATCCACTTCCAGTGCTTTCCCCTAACTCCTTCCTCAGCTCGAATCTAGCCGGTTCTCTCCTAAGGTAGGTTGTTTCTGATGGTGTCTGCTCAACGGATCCTCAGTATCTCACGGATACAAAATTTAATAAACATTTTTTATCTTTTGGATGATGACTTTCGTAGTTTCCCAAGTCTCAGCTCCATACAATAAAACTATCCTGGGGCTAGTATTGAAAAATTTGAATTCAACCTTGTTGACCATTACTTTGAGTTTCAGGTATTCTTCAATTGTTAAACTGATGCCTTTACTTTGCCAATTTGTGTCTTTATATCGGCATCGGATGCACGCTGTTTATCAATGATACCGCCCAGGTATGTAAGGGTTTCCACGTCCTCCAAAGCTTCTCCATCAGGTGTGATATGGTTGGTATACGTTGTGTCATGTTCGAGGATCTTGCTTCTTCTCTTGTGTTTTCTGAGACCTACTGCTGCATTGGCTACAGTTACATTGGTCAGCTTTATCTGCATTTGTTTCTGTGTGAGTTAGAAGGGCTAGATAATCTTCAAAGTCCAAATCGTCTAGGTGGATCCAAGCTATCAACTGTATCACGTGCTTCACCTGAGATATGGACGTTTCATAATCCACAGAATCACCAGAAGAAAAAGAAAGTGTGAAAGTTAGCAACCTTTTCTGACACTATTCTTCAGTTGGAATGAGTCTGTCAGCTATCCTTCATGCACGATCTTGTAATTTAATTCATCATAAGAACTCCGTGTAATGTTAGCTATCTTTTCAGACACATTGCAGTGTCTAAAAAGCCTCCAACGTTTCATCCTGTCCACGCTATCAAATGCTTTCTCTTAGTCGGTGTAGTTGATGTATAGTTGTGAGTTCCATTCAATTGATTGTTTCAAAATGATCTGGAGTTTCGCGTACGATTCTGTCGTCACATGATCGTTCGTTACGGAATCTAGATTGCTGATTTCAAAGTTGGGCATCCAATGAATCTTTCGTTCGCCTCAACAACATTTATTGAATACTTTTCCTGGTATTGAGACAAGAGTGATACTTTTTTAGTTCTCACATTTGCTTAGATATATCTTCGGTATTTTGGTGAGGTGTCCTTCTTTCTAGTCTGTTGGTGCTTGTTCTTCCTCCTAAATATTGCTTAGGGGAGCGTGGAATATCTTTGCGGTTACTGTTACGTCTTCGTTCAGTACCTGCGCTGATATGTTATCTGGTCCTTTTGCATTGTCGTTTTCCGTTTTCTTGATGGCCCTGCTGATTTCTTTAATTTTTGATGAGTCAACATTATCTGGGAGGTCTGTGGGTGCTGCTTAAATGTTGTTTGGTTTCAATGAGGCTGGTCCTCCCAAGAGTTCTCGAAAGTGCTCTGTCCACCTGTTTCTCTGTTCTTGATTGTCAGTGATTGCTTTGTTATGTTTTATAGCGAGCTTCGTGACGGAATCCATTCCTTAAAAACCCTACATATGTTAAATCATTATAATTTCAGGTAAATACCATTTAAGTCTGTTTAAAAAAATCTGTCACAAAATTGTTATATTCAAAAAAGATCATTCAAAGCATGTCTCTAAATAGGCTTTTATCTTCAAACTGTTTGTTTTTCACCTTATTTGTTAATCACAATGACAAAAGGACTCACGCTTAATTCACTTACGTTAGTAATCAAATGAAACTAAATAATTTACAACTAGTTTTAATGGGATGATTATTCACAACTTCACACATCAAGTGATTTATACCACTAACCTTGGGTACTTTTCAATTCCATGCAAATAATGTGATAATACGAAATCTCATTTAAAAATATTACCAAATACCGTCAATGAATATTTTTCATATCTAGATGGATAAAATGATAATCTTTTGATTCGCCAAATAGTTAATTCTATATAGAAAAGAATTTCTTTCATTTGAAAATCATAAATAATTTGAGCTTACAGTTCTTGTAATTTAATTTGTTGAATTGAGAATTTTCTAAATTTCTTCTTTCAAAGCAAGGTTTTAAGTCATTTTAACTAGAGATTTCAACAGACCATACAAAAATATTCATATTAATAGTTAAACATGTGCATCTGTATCTGGTTAATTAATAATATTGGATTTAGTAAACGAAAAGCATATCTTCAATTAGAGTTATGAAGATCAGTGTTTTTCCACATTGAAATCATCAGTCAATCATTGTTAGATCACCATCCGAAATCGGGAAGCACTGAACAGCCGTTTCATTCTGGTATGGGACTCATCAGCAGTGCGCATCCACGGCTACTGCACCTCGCAGGATTCGAACCTAGGACCTTTAGTCTTACGTGCGCAAGCCTAACCTCTGGACCACCGCTTGAAGTCGCGCAAAATCTCTAGATTGATCAGAGTACGACATTAACACTGTTGGATGCCGGCCCAATGGTCCAGACGTTAGGCGTTTGCACGCAAGACTGAAGGTTCTGGGATGGAAGCCCACGAGGTGCAGGAGTCGTGGATGCGCTCTGCTGATGAGTCTCATAACAGGACGAAACGGCTGTCTAGTGCTTCCAGGTTTGTAGTGGTGGTCTAACAATGATTGATTGACGATTTCAACGTGGAAAAACATCTTATATTAAAAAAAGAGAAATAGCTGAATCCTTGATTTATCCGTACAATGTAAATATGATTAATTCTAATAATAATATTTATACTTTCATTGAATTTCAGTTAATTTTCATTCTTTGAACATTATAATAACTACTTAGCGGTTGAGATAGATTTTCTATTTCTGTAGTAAATATATTATTTTTGTCAACAGATTGAACGTGATTCAGATACTAGGACAATATGCATGCAATACAATGTTAAGAAAGATCATTTTTTTCGACTAACTGTTGATTTTTACTTTCCCTTAAATTTTATGGGAGCCTGTCAAAAGAGATAAGTACATGAAATCGCTTGAAAATCAATCAGAACCATACGGTCGCTACTAATCACTGCATAACTAATTGTTATCTGATTAGTTAATTATATAAATTTCTTCAAAAGGTCCACTATGAAGCCATTTATTAGCTTCTACTTATTTGTAAGACATTTTAAATCGAAAACATTCATTTTCACACTAAATAACATCTCTGGTTTTATTTACAAACAACCAACGTAGTAGTATGAAAGACCTTGAATCTAGTAGGTTGTGTTTATGAGTTGCTGGGATTAGTTAACTTCAAGATGGTGGGTAAAATTTGTAGCTCAGGTAGATGATTGTGGTGGTGTTTTGTTCAAGGCCAGAGAACAAAACACCACAATTAGTTAAATTCCTCTGTCAATTCAATTGTTTAACGAATGTTAAATGTTTCCAAGTCAATCTATATCTAATCATCAATATTATAAGTTAAAATTTATTATCTTGTACAATTTTTCAGGAAAATAATATAAATGAAGAGTTAAAGAATAATATTCGAAATTTTTTACATTTTATGTTAACACAACCTTTAATTCATCAAGTTTTATCAGAAATTATTTTACAAAATAATGAACAATTATCAAATGAATGGAAATTACCTGACACAATTACAAATTTTATAAATAGTGTTAAATGGGCAAATACACCACAATTTTCTCAGAATAATAACACTAAATTATTAGAATATTTAATACATTTAAGAACATTATTATTAACAAAATTATTAACTACACCAGAAGATAAAAAACGTCAAAAATTATACATCAAAAAACTTGAAGCTAGAGATCAAGAATGTCAAACAAAGTTTGGTAAACTTATTGACGAATTAGATACACAAATTTGTCAGAATAATACAGAAGTAAGTATTAAACAAAGATGTTATTATAGTTGAATATTGAAGGGTAATAATGAAATGTAATTTTCGTTAAAATATTGAATGATCTTTGTTTTATACACATACAACAACTCTAAAATAAGATATATATATATATTATTTGCGGTTGTCATACTTAAAACTGTTGGGGACGTTAGATCCCCAGAACTCGCTGGATAAATGCTTTATTTTGGATTTCACGTTTGCCAGCATGGGCTGATCAGTTGACCTTGAGATTTCATTTCCCACCAGCACAATCCATGGCTGTGATTGGCTGCTGTGTATTTTAGTGTGCCATTTTTGTGACTCTCCCAGGGACGTTTCTATGATGAATAACTAAACGAGATTTGTGTGCTTGATTGCATTGTGCTTGCTGTGTATTTGTAGAATATAGTTTCTACGCCTATCAAGACTTCTCTTAGCCATTTCAGATCAAGGTAGCTTACTTGGACGCTGGTTCATTGTCTCATTCGCGTTTATCGACTAAGGTGAACCCGTAAGAGTTTCAAGCGTACCTAGTGATGAATCGAACAAAAACTAGCAAAATTTGATGAATAATAGTATTATCAGTGGGATTTTGTCTTGATTAAAATGCATATATCGAAGTTTGTAGTTGAACTACAACAAATTCTATTTAGAAACGATCGAGGGCTTTTTCAATACGTATGCAACAAGTGGGAACTCGAATACGCTTAATACCTGAGGCACTACAACAACTTTTCAATTTTAATAATCCATAGGTAAAAAATATAAGGCTGGAAAGATTCGACTTTCAAGATAGCTTCATGTTGAGAATGTAAGTCGAAAATCAAAACAGAACATGTGCATTTAAATAACAACATTCAATGACCGTGAAGAACATCATGTTAGTAAAACCAAAAGTGATAACAACTAATCCATGATAGCTGTAAGGCTCAGTGAGGATAACGTCATTGGAGTTATACTTTAAAGAAACAACTGACATTTTAGTAACGAAAAATAGATAACCTGAAGTCTACTGGATAGTAGCACTAAAATTTTTCACTGACGTTTTAAAATGGTACCCATTTAAATCATTATCTGTCATACTGAATCTACTAAGCGTATGAAATAGCTCACTTAATTTTGAATTCAGATTATGTGACAAGGAGTTCAAAACTGGTAATTCATGACTGATTAAATAATATCACTTTTCTAATAAGCACGTAAAACTGATCCCATTTAAATTTCTTTATTCAAAGTTAAGTAGAACGGAACAATATCGAAGAGGACTGATTATAGAAGTGTTTGTAGATCTCAAATGTAAAATCCTACTTCGATAATTCAATAGTTATCATGCGTTCACTTTTCTGTAATGATGGCTGAAAGTAACCACTTACGACCGAATCAAATATTAGCAGTATTTTTTCTCCTGGCTTTTTGTCTTTAAGTTAGAACAATGCAGGAAACTAGTTCATTGCTAATCAAAGTTATGCATTAGGTGAGATTTAGTACCCGTCAAAACAATTTATCTTGTGCCAGACAACTAATGACATATGTGTATATACATATAACATATATATCACTCACAAAACAGTCCATTTCAAATGTTTGTTTGTTTTTCAATCAAAAGAGTATTGTTACAAAAGTCTTAGTTAAAAAAAAAAAACGTTACATTGTTTTAACTTCAGACTAGAAAACTTGGTTATAATGTTTCAAAACTTCAAAATGAAATGGATAATCTTGAAAAATATTTAAATGAACGAAAGAAACAAATTAATACAGAAGAAGAGAAAAAGATAACAGAAATCACAGAACAAAACGTTGGTAAATTCAATGAACAAATATTATTCAATATATTTTTTGTTCAAAATATCATACACTTCATCATTATTGAAGATACATTGATTATTTTTTCCCAGCTCTACAATTCTTAATAATAAACAAATCACAGCAATCTCCAAATCACATGATTGCAGATAATAACCTTCGAGAGCTGAGATGTAATCTAAAATACATCTGTTGAAATGTTAATTTGTTAATAATCAAAAGGACGATTGATTTAGAAGAAATCGATTTCATAAAATGGTAGATTTATTTCAGAGATATTTTTTCTTCGCGGTTAAAACACAGTCAGTAGTAAACATAAAACTGTAACAGTTATATCATAGTTAAAACTTCGTACATAAGTTTGTAGTGAGCGAGTCAAGAAACCAGATTGACTATGCTCACCACTAAATGTTCCATAAGGTCGCGTCAAGAATATTAAGACAAATCCATGATCCAAGGTTTTATTTAAGGAGACAGTAGGCATTACATCGGGAACAGCAAATAGAGAAAGATGACAGCAACGCGAAGAGAACGTTGCGCGCAAGAAGTAGTAGAAGTGTTTTTGGTACAGTTAAACAAAACGAGTACAATAATGTTTATTCTTCACAAATCGTATTTTCTTCATAGAAGCGTTCCACTACAAGTTCATCAGTTCAGGTTGCTATACCACATTAGCGCAGAAACGCAATCGTCAATTCAAATCCCATAGTGATAGATATAGAAGAAGAATTAGCGGTGATGGAGAAGAATAGGGTTCGAAGATATGATTGGAGAAGTATTATTCAGTCAGATAAATTTAGAAAGCGAAAGATAGACATGATGAGGAATCCAGAAGATTAGGATTTGAGAGAACACAACGAGTGGATGCACCTGCACCATTGCAAACGGTTTTGAGCCATGTTGTTGAAGGTCTCTAACCATCGGTTACTATCGTCTCGCGGACCTCAACCAGGTAGTCTGCATCTACCAACATAACTCCATATTCTTGAAGTAGGAACAGGTTGAAAAGAAACTAGGGACACCCAAACCAAGACATAGGTGGTATCAAACTATGAAATGAATGAATGGATGCAGGCAGGTGCAGATTGACCGGTTAGAATCTATGTGATCATTGTAATCAGTGTTTAAAGGCTTTGAGTGGCATGGTTCAAAATCGTCCATGTCGGCAGAAGTGTATCAGATTTTTGTCTTTCTTCAGATCTAACATTTTTAAATCACCCTATAGATTTTCTCTTTTCACTGATATAAACTTCGTGAACCTTATATTCAATACCTACTCTTTTCTACTATCACCAATAATTTTACTACTGATACTACTCTTGGATTAATTTTGACTATTTTAGGTTGATGTGCTTGTGGAGTACGGCAACTTAAACCGATGTACACATCCCATGTTCTACGTCATTTATGACTGATTGATCACAACCACTGATGCTACAATTAATTTGACTTTTACTATTCATCCTGTTAATTTCGTCTCGACATTCTGATATGACATGACAACTTAAGCATATGCACATTTGCACTGGGTTTTATGCTCATTATGTAAACACCAATTATTTACCAGTTTTTCATCTTATTCTGGCGAACAGACCTTTAATCGTCAATGTGTGTGTGGGGTCAAAGAGATGAATCCTTTTTTATTCCAATGGTGTCTTGTCTACAAACTTTTAGATCAATTGGACTATTACGCATACCAACTTGACAGTATGACTAATATTTACTTAGCTGATATTCAGTGATTTTGTTTGTACGGAAATATTGTGCGACTACTTTGTTGGTCGGTACTCATCACATTACAATTCTTAACAAATAAAATAGTCAGTTGATACTGAATCCGGATGAAAGCTAGAATAAATAATGACTTAAGAACCTAGTTTATGGATATTGTTGTATGTAAATGTTCAGCTGCTAAGTAACCAGCTTGTTATCCATCTATATTCCCAGTATCCTGTGCTCTTGAATAACTACTGCCGGGAATGTAGTGACCAATCATGAACTGGTGGCCATTGGTCTTAGTTATTCCTCCTCGGTCGAGACAAGTTAGTGTTGTGCTTTCCTTCGAGTATATAGTAGTCAAGACTTCCATCCTTGTTCTGTGTTGGCTACTAAAAGGTCATCTACATATTGGTCAGTGAAAAGAAATGACACTTAATTTACTTTTAATGCTCCTAATATAAGGTGAAACAATTCACTGAATGGGGTAATATATTCCGCCTTACATTAAAAAAATACCGTTCCTAAACTGTCAAATTTTAATGACGCCTGATTGATAATCATTTATATTAATTGTCTGATAAATTTCATCGAAATCATGTGCCGATCAATGAATACGTGAAAATACTGGGCGACCGTTTCGTTCTAGTATTGGACTTCTCAGCTATTCGCACTCTCGATGACCTTGCACGCAGGAATCGAACCCAGGACTTTCGGTTTCGCGTAGAAACGCTAAACCTAGACCATTGGACCGGCATCCAACAGTGTTAATGTCCTAACTTCAACAAATTCACGACAATGTACAACCGTCTTCCATCAATTGAACAAATGAAAGACACTGAATATGTTTTGTGAGTTACACAGATTGAATAGTGATCAGAAGACAGATCTTTGACGCATATTTCTTATCATTTGAAAGTTTTCAGTTGGATTTAGTTAAGTATCCTAGAGCTGATATTCATACTCTCGTTATTACAAACAAGTTAGTTAACATAATAAATTTGTTTCAAGTTATAAATTTCTATTTTTTTAAATTCTTCTCGACACAGAAAATGAAAATAATTTAAATGAAGAAATGAAAAATCAACAAATACTACTTGAAAATATCATCAAAATAAATCGTTCTGAAGAGGAAACAATTAGAGCAACAATTTATAAAATGGAAAGTGACATTGAATCGGAAATCTCAAAATATGATCAAGAAATGACACTTTTACAGGTATATGAATTTAATTAATATGTTAATTAGAAAACAATGAATTTCATGTCATGTTTATGATTACAAGTTGAAACTGTGTCGAATTAAAATCTATCTAATGGTGGTCTAATAATGATTGACTGATGATTTCAAATGTTTAAAAAACACTAATCTCCATAATTCTAATTGGAAATGTCGTAAAATGTGCTCGCTAGTGACTAGCTTCGTGAAGAAATTCTCGGAGTTCTAGTGAGAAGACGTGACCAGTGGAGTTCAATCCTTTCGCGTGTAGGCAGTAACTACTAAATGCAAACGGGTGAGGTCGCGCAAAATGCCTAGATCAATCAGAGTTGGACAATAACATCGTTGGATGCCGGCCTAGTAGTCCAGAGGTTAGGCGTACGCAGACCGAAGGTCCCATACTAGGACGAAATGGCTGTTCAGCGCTTCCAGGTTTCTGATGGTGGTCTAACAACGATTGATTGATTGATGATTTCAAATGTGTAAAAAACACTAATCTCTATGATTCTAATCGAAAATCTGAAAATATTTATTCTAAAAGTAGGTGAATATCTATCAACAACTAAAAAAATCAAAAATTTTGCAATTTTCTGTTTGAAAATTTCTTTTTTCAAGAAATATTTCAATAGTTACAAGCATGAAAGTTTTGAAAATTCGCGTCTAGCTTGATACGTGTTTTCAGATTAATTAGTTCAGCGAAGAGTATTTCGTTTTGGTGAATTCTTTTTTTTACAGCTGTTCAATGACAAACTTTAAGTGTATTATTCCAAACTGTTAATCGCTAAAATAGTAGTGCTTTTATAAATTTTTTTTACTAAACATGGTACAATCAATAAATAAATAAGGGCATAGAAGCGTTACTTTTTTTCATCTAGAGAACTATTTAGAGAGTGTTAATCTCTTGATGAAAGCTTTACTATTTATTCATCATAAAGATAGATAGATAAAGAACTAATAATTTGAAAAAGGAATTTTCAGTGTGATAACATTTTGAAATCAATATGAGCTATGGTGATGAAGATGAATCGAGACAGTCACAAAACAAAACTGATGATATAAGGTTTATAAAGAAGAAAATTGATGGGAAACAGATGGGTGGGAAAGAAGTGGAGCGAGATTAAGACCATGGTAGAAGTAGAGGTTGTACAAGTTTCTTGTGTACACATAACTGTTGTGTAACAACTAGATCGGCAATGCTAATAAGATGAAAGTTAGCTGTCTTTGGAAGCTTTCTAATTGCCTTGTAGATGACTTTGAACGCTGAGTTCGATTTGATCGAACAACTTGTATGCTTGGCTCCACATGAACAAGTAAATTGATAAATGCACTTGGATTTTGTCAAATAAGAAAGTTTATGTATCAAATTATTACTGGTTGTGAATATTATTATTGTTTGAAGAACACTGATCTCGAGGTTCCTATTAAAAACATTCTTTTGAAATAATCACATACTCTTCTCCTTAGGATGTTCGCTACTTTTTCACCTTTGAAATAAATGTTCATCTAGATAGCATCCAGGTAGCGATGAATATAATTAAATTCTATTTTCGATCAGCTGTGAAAGTTTGTTAATTAACCAGTCCATGAGGATTTTCCTTCCTTCCAATGAAGTAAATACCTTTTTGGTTCTCAACTTATAGTGTTACATTTATTGCCGGATGGCAGATGTTAAACGTCTGTGAAAGATGATTCCAAGCATATTTATTGTCACAAATAACAAAAAAACTCATCCAAGTACTTTTTCACATCAATGATCGTTTTAAGTTGATTGTTTTTCAGCTTGGCTATATAACAATCTGTTAGTTATGAACCAAGAGAGGATCTAATTACTGTACCATCGTTTTATCTACACATTATGTCATTTAGTGTAAATTATACATTAAATGTTAGGTAACGTATGTTAGTTATTACTCCTCTATTTGTACTCTTCAGCTGTCTATTAGCTGTTCCAGTAAATCTAGAAATTTCAATTTTCTGCATTCAGCAAACAACAAGCAAACAAACATTTCTTTATGATAAAAATTTCTCTTATACACTTCAGAATTATTTAATATTGTTAGTTAGTTATAATTTGAAGTTAACTATGACAAAGTTTAATTGTTTGATGAAACTAAAAAACAATTGAAAAATTTCTTCCAACATTGAATTTATATTATTAGTTATTGAATATTAAATTTTACTGAAACTGGTTAAATTGTTCAATGATGATTGTTAGCATAGTTTCACAAAACGTAATCAATCAAGGTTCAATCCTTTTTTAAAGTTTTCTATTTATATATTGTATGACTATGACAATTTCTTTAATTATACACAAAACTAATAAATAATGAATATTTCGATTGATTTATCAAGTTTGGATTTATATTCTCAGCGTGGTGATAAACTTTAGATGTCAGGAAGGGTTATTGTTAATATTCAGATACTTACACCGAAGTCCATGAACCGATGTTCAAGCATGAGGATTAATAATCGAACGTTGCATACTCTATCTACTTAACCAATAGCTCTTTCAATAATAAAACATTCTAAGAAAATAAAAAATTGCACATCTGTTTATTTTGAATAAAAATACAATTGTTTTTATATGTTATTACAGGATGAATATGATGCCTTACAAGCAGAGTACACAGAGGAAAAGCGCGCTTACGATGAATTGAATGAACGTTTTGAGGTGAGAAAAACTGTTTTAGAAGTAGAATATGTATATAGGCATTTATATGCTTACCAGGGATGCATAAATAAAATATATATAAGCATAGTACTGTTTCAGCGTTACAGTCTACTATTAGAATAATCTCATTAAAAGGTTGATTACACCTGTCAAACAATAGAGACATTAAAATTACATCAATCAGACAAATACTTCTACATGTCTCATAAATTGGGATGTTCTGTAAATTATATTAAATGTCTGCTGCTTATGCAAGATGCAAAATCGTCAGTAACCTAACTTGCTTCGGTAATCTTAATGAAATCTATCTATTAGGTTAGTCTTTTTGTTATCTTTTCTTGTTTTCAACCAGAGTAAAGAGAAGAATATATATTATCAAGCTGTGGCTGAATGCCTAGAAAGTAAAGTGATTAAAAATTGACTTAACTGAAATGTAACTAATTTATCAGTCATCACTTTAAAAGATCAATATATATATGCGAACATAAAAATATCGTAGAGAACAAAATCCACTACATACGTTATTACTATGCACATCAGTGAGACCACCTGTAAACAAAAATAATTGCTAAGCTTCAGTTATTGAGACATAGAGCTTTTCATATAATTAGTCGTTAGAGCACAGATCATACCAATGCATTACTCAATTTCCAGGCTACTGTTCGAATAGTTTGTTCCAATAATAAATTTCTTGTTCGTCTGTAAAAATTATGGTTATGCTGAAAACTATGTACTACAATCTAGTCTTAGCGAAAAATGTTTGGATACTGACAAATCACTATAAGCTACTGATACATTCTTGACCCTGTATGTCTAACATCATTCTTGACTGTTTACTGATTTCTGAGTCAATTTGCATTCTAACAACGTCTAGTGTTCATTGAATTTTGACACATTTGTTATACGTAAACTTTTAGGCTTATCTAGAGTTAGGCTATATTAACTTTCTGTAACATATTCTGCGTGACTAACTGTAAATAATAATATCCATTTCAAGGGAATTTTTACTATAATTCTTTAATGATTTCTGTAGCGACCCATCCTCGTCTCCAGGTTCAATAATTAAAGTTTTTGAATTACTGTTTATTAGCAGAAAGACACTTCATTGATATTCGTAATTTAAAGCAAAAAGCTTTTTCGAAGAATTCTCTTCAACGAAATCTGCTGTTAATATTATATTTATTGATAGCCGGATCAACGTTTAGAATATTTGACAATATTCTAAACCTAGGTTTAAATTCAGGAGCAACCAATGCAAATATCTAACCTGGTAAAAGTCCATGATGAAATTTCGTTGTTAAGTTTCTCCAACGGTATTAAGTAGGTAATTTCTTGAGTTCCATTGAGAAGCCGTGACTAGCAAGAGTTTAACGTTGTTGAATGTGAAATGGTTATCGACCAAAGGTAACGGAAGATGGTCGTGCAGTCTCGTGAATTGATACAAACCTGGAAGCACTGGACGGCCATTTCGTCCTGGTATGGGACTCATCAGCATTGCGCATCCAAAACTCCTGCATTTCGCAGGATTCGACCGGCGACCTTCGGTATTGTGCGCGAATGCCTAACCATCGGACCAATGGGCCGGTATCGAACGGTGTTAATGTCTAACTCTGATTGATCTAGGGATTTTGCGCAACCTCACCCATTTGTCTTTGGTAGTTACTGCCTACACCCGAAAGGATTGAACTCCGCTGGTCACGTCTTTTCACTAGAACTCCGAGAATTTCCTCACGAAGCTAGTAAATTAATTGTATTTTAACTCATTATCATTCATAGTAATAATAATAATAATCCAATTGATTATAATTCTTTACATTTAGATTATCAATGAAGAATATGAAAAGATAATGGAAGAGCGTAGATTACAAGAAGAAGAAAGACAAAGAGAAGAAGAACGAATACGTGAAATGCATGTAGCAGTTACAACTATACAATCATTTTGGAGATCATATAAAACGAGAAAATTAGCACGTGGCGGTAAAAAAGGAAAATAATTCATAGAAACAATTTCACACTATTCATTCTTATTTCAACTGAAATTACATTGTATACATTATGATAAATTAATTTAGAATTTTAATGTTTCACTTTTAAAATATATGCATTCAATCAATAAAATAATTTATGATAGTTGAATTATGTGATTTGTCAAAAGATTAAGATTCATATGTGTAAAACATTAAATCTTTGATGAACTTTATTACACGGGGTATTTATCAATTATTCCACTAATTATCTTTTATATCAATAATAATAATAATAATAATAAAATAATTATAATAATTCTGATAATACCCCGAATAGTAGAAATTTATATTTCTGACCTTTCTTGAATTAATGTAGTCAGTCACTGATAACATAGAGCTTCCTATATGTACGTACATCAGCTCAGGTTTCCATTCCTTATTAACACAGAGACGAAACTGTCAGATCAAATCCTATAGTGGTAGCGAAAGTAGAAGTATTGGCAGTAATGGAGAAGATGAAGGTTCGAAGATTTTATTCAAGAAGTATAATCCAATGAAATAAATTTGAGAAGTGGAAGATGAAGGTGATGAGGAATTCAGAAGTTTGGGATTTGGGATTACACAAAGAACAGATGCCCCTGTCATTACAAATGATTTTGAGCTATGTCGTCAGAGGTCTCTATCCATCGGTCAATTTTACCTCGCGGACCCCATCCAGGGCAGTCAGCGGCTGGGCATACGTAACACATGTCCCAAGCACCTCAATCGATGAAGGTTCACTACTTCATCTATTGATCTGCCATTTTTACCTAATAATTACTCGATAGTCCCAAGATAAACGAGTGGTGCTTCAGGACGCCTTTCATCGAGTACTAGTAACCTACGAATATCCTCTACTCTCAATGGCTATATTTCACAGCCATAAAGTAGGACTCAGCGAACTACTGCTCAGTACTCTCGTCCTTTTGTTTGCAAACCTATACCTCGCCTACGCCATAAGTGACGTAACATGGCAAAGGCCTGTCGAGCCTTCTGTATCCATGTTGAGATTTCGTCACACATCAGGCCATCAGAAGTGACGAGACTCCAAAGATAAGTGAAACGGTCGACACGCTCAACTACTTCACTCCCTATCACTAGTTCAGGTGCCGTCGAAAGCCAATCTTGAAGCGACATTTCGAGGGGAAGAATCGCTTGTATTGTTGCTTAGGGTAATCAGAAGACTGCATTATGCTCGCGAATTCACCAAACGGAACTGTCATCAGCATACACCAAGCCAACAAGTGAATCTTCCGGTAAAAATTTCAACTCCTGAGAAGCCAGACGAAGATAGTCTTATTTCCAAAAGCACGTCTACGGCAAAGTTAAACAACAATGAAGAGAGTGGACAACCCTGGCGGACACCAATTGAAGTAGTCAGTTCTGATAACAGTTCGCCATAAGCTCTGAATCGGCCAGTAGTGTTCAAATAGAGAGCCTATATGAGGTTAACGTAATTCACTGGTACTCCTTTCAGTGACAGAGGCTGCCACAGAACCTCACGGTCAACAGAGTCAAATGCCGCTTTAAGGTCCAGAAATACTATCATTGTGGGACGTCTGAAACTATGTCTATGTTCTAGGACCGGACTTAGTGTGAATATTTGGTCTATACATTAAAATCCAAGTTGTAAACCAGCTTGGTTTTCTCTGGTCTGTACTTCACGAGTTCTAGTCAGGCTTCTATGTATTACCGAGGCTAGCAATTTAGAAACCATTTTAGTTAGACTGATCCCCCTGCGATTGTCACAAGATTATATATATATATATATATATATATATATATATATATATATATATATATCCAGTTCCCATTTAAGATCTCAGTTAACTTGAGTGCTGAAACTTGAGATCGTGGGCAACTGAAGTGCGGCTGAAGGCCAGTTGAACTGGTGCCAGAAGTGCTCTGCCTATCTGTCCAATCTCCTGGATTGATAATGAATAATAGTTCCATCATTTTTCGAGTTAGTCTAGCTAACAGTCATATTTATAGTTCTAGTTTTCTTGATAATTCTGAATATCTGTCTACTTTTAGCTATCACCGCTGCCTTTTCCATCGCTCTTACTTTCGTTACCCATTACAGTTCGCGATCATTGCGAGGCTTGCTATCAGCCTGAGCTTAAGATGACTTCGCTCTTTATAATGTTCAGATCCAGATAGGATGCGTTTTCGAGCTTCTCCGTATTCTTATGGTTTATTTTAATAGGAGATATTACTGCTTAGGGGTAGGAACCACTTTCATCGCTGCCCAACTGTTTCTCGCATTGTTCCTGAAATATATTCTCACCTGTGCTAGCATTAAGTAGAACCCGAAAAGGTAACCTTACTATATTTTTCCTACTTCCACTAAGCCTCAAACAAATACACACTTGCACTAGAGCATGATCTGAATCCATACGTATACCCCAGAACGAGCGACAGTCCTCTTTCGAATCACTCCATCGGTGGCGGATAGCGATGTGGTCTAGTTGCGTCCATAGTTATTAAAAATTTGGAGCTCGTAGTTCAAGAGATGTTTTCCTTATGCTTGCAGTTAGTATTTGATAGAAAAAAGCTGTTATCTGAGTACAGTGCCACTAGACGGCCTCTATTATCTGTTCGATTAGCCGCGACACCATAAGATCCACCAAGGAGCCTTTCCTTTTCACTTAGTCTACCTACTTGAGCATTAAAGTCAGAGCGCCTAAAAGTTTGGTGGAGGTCCTTAAGCTTTCTGTAAAACTCATCATTTACCTCCTCTGAACTGCAGTCAGAGGCTGTTAGGCAGAGACAACAAACAGGCTACAGCAAGTATCCCTTTCTGTCCCGTCTAGTCGAGCTGCGCGGAAGCGACTATCTACAGGGATCCAGTCTAGGAGATCTAGTTTTGCCCCAGGACTCAATTCTATACCTACAACAGCGAGGCCATGGGAAGAAGCAGCAACAGGGCTTCCAGATACATGAATCAAACCGAGTTGGCTCTTTATCTGCACAAGGTGAGGCCAAATTAGTCACTGTACTCGGATCCAGAGACGGGGTATACATTGATGGCGCGAGACTTTAAAGTCCTAGCTAAGGAAGCACGTTGTCCTACTTGACACAGGGTTCGAACATTAAAAGCTACAACATGTAGTTTAGAACGGGGTTTCAGAAGACTTGGAATAACGTTTGGTGAACTGGAATCGTTTACGTTAGCGGGTGATAAAGGAATGTGAGAACGATTAGTTGTGGAGATAAAAGAGATATTAGATGTGGGAACGATTTGATTGTGACCACTTTAGGTTCGTATGCTGTTACGGGTATGAGGGCTGGTGTCCCTTTCCGGCTGCCCACAGCGAGGAGTATATTTCTTGAGGAACCTGGAAATCAAACCAGATTACTGTTAGTTTTAGCGACCTGGGAGCATGACCACAGAGCCCAAGCGACGACTGCTTGGGACCGGTCACGTACGGGCTTTTTATGGGTAGTATTTAAAGTGTTAGCTCCGCTCTTAAAAGGCCTTAACGCCAGAGACGGAAATCCGTGAGGTAAGGTCAGGAGTGATATTTTTAGTTTCGACTCTTTCTAACCCCTTCGTTCCATTATGAGAAGGCAGCATCGTTGCAGCTGCTGGCTGTTCGAGGGAAATGCCTTACTGCTATCACACTCCTCTACAGTCAGCAGTACGAATTCGCCCTCAAACCTTGAGTTACTGCTTTTAGTCTTACTGTTCTCTAATCGACCTGCCTGGCATGGTAAAAACAGCTCGGTTGGGCCATCGCGATAGGAAAGCCCGACCACCATGACAATGTAGCAGCTATGGTCGGGAATATCACAGCTTGAAAATTATTATCATTCTATTCAGGAAATTCTTGATGACATTCCATTCTGATTTAACACAAACGAAATTCGAAACTACAAGAAGACAATGACCACCTTTGTAGATATTACGAAAAAAAAGTAGACATAACAACGATGTCTTAATTGATCAGATAGTGACTAATGTACAAACCACCTATAACATTTTATTATTACTTTTCGTGCAAATATTTTGTATATAAGCTTATTTTTTGAGTAAAGACGCTATTCTCCCGGTTCGTGGTCTTATTCTTCATTTGTAATCATTTAAGGGTTTGTCGCAATAATGCAGTTTTTTGAGCAGCCATCACGCGGCTCTATTTCGTATCATTCCACTTCACCCATCAATCAGCATTCTACTTACTGAATTTGACAATCGATGTCTGTTCGTAAACCGTAACCTCCCTGAGGTAAATGACATTCAGAATGACCAAGATAGCCAACTTAGTCACTTTGACCAAATTTTAAACATATCTCGTCTACGTCAATATTGGAAACCAAGTTAATGAACATACTAAACTTTGTCCAATTCGTAACCTAGCGTACAACCATTGCACATACACTTTTAAAAAGTAATAATTCTTATTATATTCTTACGTAAATTATTTCATCTTTTAACAGATAAAAATAATAATAATAATAATAAAATAAATCAGATGGGTTGTGACCATGAAGTCATTTTTAACTTCATAGCAATTTTATGTTTTTCATAGTATCCAAAAAGAAAAGAATAAAATTTTTAAGGGTGTAAAATTTGTTCTATGTACCCTTTCCATGTCCTTCCTTTCAAGAACAATCAAAAAGTAAGTTTGAAAAGCCCAATGAAAAGTTTATTTCCAACGAATACCGCAATTTTGCAAATTCAGTTACTAATTTGCAATGATTACCGTTACAAAAATTTATCTCATATGTCTAATTTGAATGGTAAAGCTGAGAATCTTTATAGAAAAACGTTTTTAGATGTTGAATTCCCGATAATGTTTCTCTAGATAATTAAGTTTATGGAAATGAAACGTTCTCTGATTGCAGTAACCGTGATGGCCACAGCGAAAAGAATGCATTTTTATGTAAAAATTATATGCACAGAATGAAATATTATCACATCAATCAACGAAATGTTCATTTATTGCAAGGGCAATTTCACAAACTATACTGCAGCTGATGGTTCAAGAGAGCTGTTGGCTGTGGATGTGAATATTCTATCCTTGTTGAGCAGGTAGAGAGATTATATGCAGTTATAAGGTGGTCAACGCTTCATAATCATAAGTTGCTGAGCATTTATATTTATTTTTGTGTCACGAAAAATATTATCAATGGTCTGATTGCGTATTTTTTTGCAATCTGGAAAGAAAATTCTCAATACTTAATCTTGTACTAAATGTATATCATCTATAGTATACTAAATATCTAGATGATCCCTCCTAGTGTGGTGCTGTGGTGCGAACTACTTATAAGTAGTATATAACGTGAGTGTCAACGTAAAGTCTGGTAGCATAATATGGAGGGAAGATCAAGAAAGGAAGAGTTAGAACACAATGGAATTTGTATGAAACGCATGAATAGTGACAATGGATTGATGTTTGGCAACAGGAACAGTCCAGTTCCATAGGATGAACTGATCTTTTGCAAATGAACGATTTACGATATGGTTTTCCGATTTTACTGAGTAACTCTGTAATTTTCGTTAAATACAATCCGGTTGCCCCACCTGTGTTCTCATTCACTACACTAGTACATGGTCATAAAGTAGTGAATTTTAGAGAATTTCCCATCTCAATTATTATAAGTCTTTTTCATAAACATGTTAACCCATAAAAATTGTAAATTGGTACTATATCCAAAAGAAAAATCACCGTAATTGTTGGAAATAGATTCTTCATTGTGGGATTAAAACTATGTTTTTGATTGATCGTAGTAAAGTGAGAGATAGAAAGTAGGTTCAAATATTAAATCCAATACATTCCATACACTTAGAAATCTTATTCACCTTTTTACTATAGGTTGCAATACGATATGTTAAAAAACAAAAGTATAATTCATGATGATCAATGTATGTTGTGTACAGTTAGTTTCTATGTTTAGAAAAGACCAAACGAACTGCTCTCTACGTTAACTGCCACTTAGATGGAACAATTACATTAGCTGGTTCTTCACTCTCCTGTGCGTTGCCCAAAGATTCAAGTCTCTTCCTTTGCAGCTCTTCATAGTCGTGCTGCCAATAAGCTTTGTTTCGTGGATGTACCATTCTCAAATAGTATCGATCCCATACCATACCTTGACGAATTTTTGAAAGGATCTACAATTGAAAATAATTATTATAAGTAGTAATTTTTTTCTGTTAAATACAGTGATACTATGTAAATGGAAACGTTTTTGATACATCTTTATGAAAATAAAAAATTTTCTCTTAAAAATTGCTTAGCTGATAAAAGCCGATAATATATCATGAGAAATAATGAAGTTTCATTTATGACCTGATTAATTTGTTATTAGTGCCGCAGTATTTACTCATCTTATGTGCAATAATTTAAGATTGTAACTGTATCAGCATGAACGATTAGCGTTGCAACAGAATGTTCAACTTGATTATAAGTGAACTGACATAACATTTTCAAACCATGTTTACGTAAAATTACACAACCTTTTTGCTGGTACATTAAGATTTTTTAAAGATTAAACTGTCATTAATCAGTAGACAAGTGTGATTATTTCACTAACAGTACTCATTTAAATATGGGATCCGGATTCTGATTTCGATATGGCCTGGGATCCTTAAAAACTGGTTTTTGATATTTTACGAAACTCAAATAGAAAACCAGAGACTGTTCACATCATCCTGCTATGATCTGATCATTTTTAGTCTTTATTATAACAATCCCCTAGAAGCAATTAGTAACGACGACAAACTATCTAAACCGCCTATATTGAACACAACTCAACTGTCGTGTAGTAGAACTAAGTGTGATGGATTGTGCACTCATCCCTTTAGCAAACATTTAAATACATAGTAGATGCAAGTTGACGAATACGAAAAGGACTTGGTTATAATAAACTTCGAGATAAGCCGATTTCGATGGGCCATTTTTCAGTCAAACGTTGCACGACCTATACCAAATATTTAAGTGTTTGGAAAATGATCTTGTTATTTTCACTGTCTGATAAGAATAAGACTTTTGTATACCCTTACTAGTTGAGAGAGTCGTTGAATACAAGATTAATTTCGGAAGACTATGAACGTATTAAGATATCATTACCTGATATCAACTCATAAGCTTCATAAGCCATTATACGATTGTGAGTAGGCTACTGCCTGACAACAGCTTTAATTTTTATGGTTCACCTGAATAACTAAGACTCGAGGTATTAAGAAACTGACGTACACTGCTATGACTTTTTGTCTTTGATGTACATACGAAGAAGAGGTAGTAAAGGGCTTTTCGAGATTCCGACATTTTTTTTCACTTTATTTTGATGTTTACAGCTGGTACTTCGATCTTAAATAGAAATAACTGGAGGATGGTATTTAGTATAGACAGGAAAATACATCCAAAACTTCCGATAGTCGAAAAAACAAGCGATTCATTTTACTAGTTTCAAGAAGTTACAAGTAGCCAAGTGCCAGTAAGTAAAAGTTTTTTCTAGAAAAATAGTTTTATAAATTACACTCGAAATATTTTGCCTCGTAAAGTGCGGCTATTAACATACTTTATTTTCTATGAATTTTATCTTTTATTTCGTATACTTTTTATAACATGTTTAGAGTGATAAAAGTAAACGAATATGAACGTTGCACCTTATTGTTTTAATGATTGTACGAACAAACCACACACACACACACACACACACGTATCTATAGATGAGTTGCGTTAATTATACTTAGAACAAAATACAAACATTACAAATACTTTCTAACTAATGGATAAGGAAAAGAAATAGGTGTAAAATGTTATTAAAATGAAATTAAACTTACTTGATAATTATTTCGTAGTTTATATGGTCCTGCTTTAGGTCTCAAGGAATATGGGAAAGGAATGTTATCCCAGTCTGGTGTAGTACGTAGTGTTTCAATAAGGCTTGGATACATAGCACGTTTTTCTTCATCTGACATACTGTCATAATCTATCCCAATGGGGTCCACCTCTCCAATATATGGTGTTTCCTGTAGTTGTATTCCACTAGCCAACAAGGACTCGTAGAAAGCTCGAGTCTATTTTTACATAAATCAAGAAAAGATAACATACACTCTCGTTTTCGTTAGATAGCTCGGTTGTCTCAGAAAATAACTCCATCAAACCGCATTGATGACATCTTAGTGCTAGTACTCTTCCAATATTTTCTGCAGCTGAAACATCAGTACAACTAAAAGATGTAGTATTTTTGAAGATAATACCTATACAAATGTTTTCTGATGCTACTTTCTTTAGTTGAAGCCGAGATTAATACTTTTGAAGAAGCATGAACAACAAGACCAGTTGTATGATGAGAATCTTTATCTAAAACTACTCTGGATTAATATTAAGTGAAATGCAAAAATAAAAACTCACTTATTCCAAAAATCCTTTCGTGGAGCTTGAAATTCCCAACCTTTGGTTTTTGGTGCCATACCCAAAAGTTCAAGATTTCTATTACTAAGCTTTCTGTAACATAATTTTCTAACCTAGGATTCTTGTTACGGTACACCAAAGTAGACATCATTTTTAGTGACGGCTTAGTTGAGATATTAGACAAAGTACAAAACTTCGATAGATCATTTGGAATGATCTTGTTCATTTCTTGTAACGCAAATATTTCAAGATCTAAGAAACATATTACTAATCACAGTATACCAGAACTACCAAAAAGTAATTGTACACTATTGCAGTAGACAGTAAGGAATTATAAACGTATATAGACCTGAAACGGAAAAAACAACACAATATTTAATTAGGTAATTATGAGTAATTTAACATAGTTTAAAAACATTACTTGACATACAACTGAGCAACAATCACATCATATGGAGGGCTTATGATAAAGAGTAAACAATAGGCGATCAGTGTCATACATTTATGCGGTTATTTTTAAAAAGGTACAAACGAAAACCGCAAATACATACTATTAACAACGAAAACGTTGTACGTCTCCAGCTTAAAACCGCTACAATTCAGATAGAAAATACTGACAGCTTGTTTGTAATTTGTTTTTCATCCGAATTAGTGCACTAGAGTTCGTGAAGTAAAGAAAGGGTATCAATCCATAAAATTGGTTAGTCCATAAATTCTATCTAGAACCTGTGGGATAACTGTAGTTTTAGAATGAATGACATACCCCACAACAGTCGCAATGATGTAGTCAATTTTTTACTTTTTGAAGAATTTGTGAATAGAAATTTGAAATCTTACGAACTCCTAGTGTGTTATATTATCACACACTAACCATCAACATCGTTTACATCTTTCACTAGGTATAACGAGACGCTAATGCCTCAGAATCCATGCTCTCAAACAACGGTATGATAGCTTTATGATACCGTACCCAGCGAACATAATATGCGATGAACACGCTGTAAGAGTTGACCTAGTCAAAAACGTGCATTCTCAAACATCTTGCTAATTAAAAGTTGCATGAGTTTTCAGTTTATTGAAAAAACATTTCAGTTAAACTCCAAACGGTTTATTTACTGATATAGTATAAATATCGTCTATTTCTGTTTCTGTAAAATAAGCCTGTTGAAATTTTCCCATAGTACTAAACATATAATGTTGAATTAAAGGTGTTAATAATAATAATAATCCTTCAATCTAATTTGTTACTTTCAAGCTATTTTTTAAGCAACGTTTTGAATTGCAGTTGATGTTATTCTACTATCTTTAACTCATCAATTTCTTACTATACATTGATTACGAGTAATACTTTTGTTCCAACTTCTGACATTATTGATGGAAGGTGGTAACTTAAAGTTGCTATTTATAACACTAACTTATATATGATCCATCTAGAATTAAATCATTACTTTCAGTCTGCACAGACATAAATTTTAGAAGCCGAATCTACTCTTTATCTTTACAGAAGTCTCCAGTTACGTTTTTAAATAACTGCAATAATTATGTGTGGTTTATAAATAGGACAGGATAATTAAATAAGTGAGAGCTTTAGTGAATACAATTTAAGCCTATAGACTTGAGAGACAGACAAAAATAAACAAAGTACAGAACATTATGATTTTTGCGTACTAACGCTTCGCAAACTGCAGAAGAGGCAGTTTTGAAAGAAGTTCATGACTCCATTACATCACTTTTCCTCTAACATTGTATCACCGACCTAATTATACTACTGACCCTTCGGGGCCAGTTATTAACAATATGCCTAGCGATGAAGCATTTTTTATTACAAGGACAGGAATTTATAGTAATGGCTGATTATTGACATTTGAGTTATTCCTTTAACACGTCATATGGTCGAAAATTACCGCGAGAAGCATGACAACTGGATTATATCTCGCAAATCACTACAGACATGCAAAACATTAAAGGAAATGTGACTGTTGTAGATGATGCATTATCTCAAACAAAAATGGAGGACCAAACACCAATTAAGTGGACATGACAAAGCTACAAGATGATGCTGAATGAATAATATCAAAGAAAAATATATACTAGTACTTAAACATGTCTTGATTTTTTTATCGGGTTCTACTCTCACTTTTGATGTCTCCACAGGTACCCGTCATCCTTTCGTGCATGAGTGTAGAAAATAGGTGTTTTAACACATTTAATCACAACTATACTAGGAAATCCAAGCAAGTATCCGTTTTATAGCAAGACGTTTCGTTTGGCCTCGTAGGAGCGGAGATGTTAGACGGTGGGCACGGACTTCTACGCAATGTCATAGCAGTAAAGTCTAACATATGTTCTTCACGTTTGGAGCATCGCCAACACCAGACACGATTCCAACACATTTACTTGGATATGGTCTGACTGTTCTCGCCATATAATTCTTTTACTCAAATATGTTGACAAATTTACTAGGTAGGCCATAGCCTGTCCTAAAAATGATACTTCAGCTAAGTCCATAGATTAAGTATTCTTTGACTGCCACTCGTGATTCTTCTTGGGCTCCATGTGTAATGGAGAGTCTCATGCGTTGCTTTATTGGTATATGATGCCAAGTTGTATCAGGTGTTCGGGTTCCTTAAGCCACGTTAAGTTTTTCAAAGGATAGTCTGTGTGATTCTGCATTTACTGGTTAGCCTGAGTAACGGTGTGGTGTTTTATATGGTGGTATGTATGATCAGTTTTGTGTTCAGGTCTTATAATTCTGTCATACAAAAAATATCGTTCAAGATACTATTCATTCGATTTACTGAGGGGAAACCATATAATGCCCTGTTAACCATCAACCCATTAACTTAGAATAGTCGGTAAGTTTCTTATTGCTTATGTTAACAAGTAGTTTGTAAAAACTTCAGAAATCTGCTCCAAAAATAGATTGCTTTACTTAAGATACAACGAAGATCTATGCGGAACGATGACGTAAATCGAGGTTTGGTTTGAGTAATTGTGCGATGAGTTTTCTTTGTCACTTTTAACAGAATGTTAAAAGCTGTAGTATGCAGTCGGAACTGTGCTAACCTCCGCACCGCTTTCATTGAGAAATCCCGTACCTCAGGCGATATCGTGGATATGAGGGCGGCCACCGAAGTTACCGCAAACAGTTGACATGTTTCTCTGGACCTCATCAAAGTGCTATGTGAAGTTGCGGTCAGTCAGTCAGTTGCAACGTAGAACTTCGTACGTATGTACATAAGTTCATGTTGCCATACCACATTAGCACAGAGACGCAAATGTCAAATCAAATCCCATAGTGATAAAGATAGTAGAGGTATTAATGGTAATGAAGAAGACTAGGGTTTAAAGATATTATTCAAGAAATATAATTCAGTGAGACCAGCTTAGAAAGACAAAGGTAGAGGTTCTGACGATTCCATAAGATTAGGATTTGAGAGAGCACAACGAATGGATGCACTTGCGCCATTGCAAACGATTTTGAGCCATGTCGTTTAAGGTCTCTAACATTTGGTGGCTTTCGTCTAGCTGACCCCAACTGGGTAGTCTACATCTACCAACATGACTCAGTCCACTTGTCAGTGACTTCATGGATTTCTCCCATGTTTTGGTCTGGCCGCCCCTAGCTTTCTTCAAACCTACTCCTTGACCACAAAACATAGCTCGACGAGGCAGTCGGTGGTTAGGCATTCGTAACACATGTCCCAACCACCTCAACTGATAAAGTTTCATTACTTCATCTATTGATCTGCCATCCTTACCTAGCACCCGTTTCCTAACGACAGCATTGCTTACTCGGTTGTCCCACGATATACGAGCATTGCTTCTTAAACATTTATGATCGAATACTAGTAACCTACGAACATCTACTCTTAACGGCCATGTTTCGCATCCATATAGGAGAACGGAGCGAACTACTGCACAGTACACTTGTCTTTTAGTCAGCAAACGGATATCTCGCCTACGCCATAAGTGACGCAGGTTGGCAAAAGCCAATCGAGCCTTCTGTATCCGAGCTGAGATTTCATCAGTCACCAGGCTATCAGCGCTGATGAGACTACCCAGATAAGTGAAGCGATCAACACGCTCGACTACTTCACTCCCTATCACTAGTTCAGGTGCCGGTGCAACCCAGTCTTGAAGCAGCATTTCGCACTACGAGGGGGAAAACCGCATCCCGAACATGCTCGCATTGTTGCTTATGGTAGACAGAAGGTTCTGCATTTTGTCAGCGTCTTCACCGAATAGAACTATGTCATCGGAATAGTCTAGATCAGTAAGCGATTTCCCTGGTAGAAGGTCAACCCCTGAAAATTCTGACGAGCTTAATGTTAACTCTAAGAGGATGTCTACGACAAAGTTAAACAAGAATGGGGACAGTGGACATCCCTGAAGGACACCACTTGATGTTGAGAATTCAGATGACAGTTCGCCATGAGCTCTTACTCGACCAGTAGTGTTTGAGTAGAGAGCTAGTATAAGGTTAATGTACTTCTTTGGTACACCTTTCAATGACAGACACTGCCACAGAACCTCACGATCTACTGAGTCTAATGCCGCTTTTAGGTCCAGGAACACGACTATTGTCGGACGTCTAAATGTGTGTCTGTGTTCCAGGACCTGTCGTAGTGTGAAGATGTGGTCTATACAATCACGTCCAGGTCGAAAGCCAGACTCGTTTTCTCGAGTCTGATCTTCACGAGCTCTAGTTAGACGTCTAAGTATAATCGAGGCTAACAATTTAGAAACTATATTAGTTACACTTATTCCCCTGTGATTGTCACAAGAAGACTTTTGCCCTTTCTTGTAGATTGGGACAATTAGCGACTGAGATCAGGCAGATGGGATTACGTCCAGTTCCCAGATTCTACCTAGGATCTCGGTCAGTCTAACTGTTAAAACTGGACCACCACTCTTAAACATCTCAGGGCTAAGCCTATCAGGACCTGCTGCTCTACCTCCCTATAGATTTCCTAAAGCTTTCTCAACTTCATGTAAACTGGGAGGACTTAAATCGATTTGCCATTCAGGATGACTGGTGGTCGTGGGTAACCGAAGAGTGGCTGAAGGCCAGTTGAACTGATCCCTAAAGTGTTCTGCCCATCGGTCCAGCCTCCTAGATTGAGAATGGATAATAAGACCATCCTTTTCCGAGATAGTCTCACTCACATTCGGGTTTCTAATACCGGTTTCTTTGATAAGGCGGAAAAGTTGTCTACTGTTGCCGATCGCCGCTGCCTTTTCCATCGCTTTTGCTTTCGCCACCCACCACTGTTCGCGGTCGTTACGTAGGCTTTTTATAAGTCTGCGCCTAAGTTGAGTACGCTCTTTATCATGTTCAGAGTCAGGTGCGATGCGTTTTCGAGCATCCATCAGTTCGGTGGATGCAACTGAAATCCACGGCTTCATCCTAGCCTTATGGTTTACCTTGCTAGCAGATATCACTGCTGTTTCCACAGCCCTTTCTGATATCATCCCAACCTGACTCCGGATAGGAATCACTTGCATGGTCGCTTTTTTATTTCTAGTTCCTCCTGAAATATTTTCTTAGCTTGAGTATCATTAGGTAAAGCCCTAAGAGGCTTCCTTACGGTGTATTTCCTACATCCAGTAAGCCTCAAACAAATACGAGCTCGAACTAGGGCATGATCTGAATCTAAACATGTGCCCCAGAACGAGCGACAGTCCTCTATCGAACCCCTCCATCGGTGGCTGATGGCGATATGACCTAGTTGAGTCCAACGTTGAGACGACTTTGAGGGTCGCCAGGTCAACAGATGTTTTTCCTTATGCTTATAATTAGTGTTTGCTAGAAATAGTTGGTTATCTGAGCACAGTTGCAACAGACGGTCGCCATTGTCTGTTCTTTGAGCCGCGACACCATAACATCCACCTAGGTGTCTTTCAATTTCACTTAGTCTACCTACTTGAGCATTGAAGTTATCAGCCATTATAACTATATCAGAGGGCTTAACTTTTTGGAGGAGGTCCGAAAGCTTTCTGTAAAACTCATCTTTTACATCGTCTGGACTGCAGTCAGTAGGGGCGTAGGCTGATATGACGAAGAGGCAACGACGAGTGTCCCTATCCTTTCGAATCCTTACTGTCCCGTTTAGTCGGACGGCGCACAAGCGACTATCTACAGGGATCCAGTCAAGGAGAGCTAGTTCTGCCCTACGACTCAATGCTATACCTACACCAAAGAGACCCCTGGAAGCAGTATCACAGCTACCGGATACAGGAAGGGTAAATCGAGTTGCTTCTTTATCTTGACATGGTGAGGTCAAGTGAATGATGCGACTCGGATCCTGTATGAGCGTTTCCGAGACGCAGTACACATCGATAGCGCGAGATTCTAAAGTCTTAGCTAATGAAGCCTGTTGCCCTATTTGCCCGACCGAAGCTGCTACCTTGACGTGGTGGTCGTGCTTGACTATCGTGATGACCCAACCGAGCTATACTGGCTGGAACACATGTTCCTGCAGATCCTACCATGCCAGGCAGGTCGATTGGAGAACGATGAGACTAAAAGCAGCTACCCATGGTCTGAGGGCGAAGTCGTACTGCTGACTGTGATGGAGAGGTGTGACAGCAGTAAGGTGTTTCCCTCGGACAACCAGCATCTGTAGCGATGCTGCCTTCTCACAAGGAAGGAAGGGTTAGAAAAGGTCGGCCCTAAAAATGTCACACCTCCCCTACCTCACGGATTTCCGTCTCCGGCGGTAAGGGTGCCCACTAAGGGCCTTTAAGAACGGAGCTAATCCTCTAAATACCTCTCATAAAAAGGCCGTGCGTGACCGGCCTCAAGCAGTTGTCCCTCGGGCTCTGCGGTCACGCACCAACACTAATCCATCTTCCTTTTCAGGTTCGTCAAGAAACAACCTTCCACGGTGTGGGCAGCTGGGAAGTAATAACCGCCCTCGTACCCGTAACAGCACACGAGACAAAATTGTTCAAAATCAAATCCTTCCTACATTCCCTAATACCTCTCTTATCTCCACAAATAACTCTTCTCACATTCATTTATTACAGTGCACAGCTAATGCAAACGATGCGAGTTTGCGAAACGTCGTTCCTGGTCTCCTTAAACCCCGTTCCAAACTACATGTTGGAGCATTCAATGTACGGACATTGTGTCAAATAGGGCAACAGGCATCATTAGCTAGGACTTTAGAATCTCGTTCCATCGATGTGTGCTGCGTCTCGGAAACGCGCATACAGGATCCGAGTAGCGTCATTCATTTGACCTCACCATGTCAAGATAAAGAAGCAGCTCGATTTACCCTTCGTGTATCCGGTAGCCCTGATGCTGCTTCTAGGGGCCTCGCCGGTGTAGGTATAGCATTGAGTCGTAGGGCAGAACAATCTCTCCTTGACTGGATCCCTGTAGATAGTCGCTTGTGCGCCGTCCGACTGAACGGGACAGTAAGGACTCGGAAAGATAGGGACAATCGCCGTTGCCTCTTCGTCATATCAGCCTACGCCCCCACTGACTGC